GAGAATGAGAATCTGGAGAAAGGAATAATATGAAAACATTTTTGTAAAGATGTGATAGAGGAATGCTTGGTAACTCTGATCCTGGTTCAGTATGTGAATAGAATACTATATACAAATTTGTATTTATCAAATTGTTATTTAGTTGTGCTGTTGTCAGGTTGAATCATATATCTATAGGAATCATGGAAATCGGCACAACTTTTAGAAATTGATCTTCTAAAATGGGAAGAGAGATGTGTATTTTGAAGTTCATCACACTTTGACAGTTTTATATTTTTTAATCCATATGCCACAAAATGATATTTTATGATGGATTTCCAACAAGATAAATGAGCTACAGTGATAAAAACCTAGAAATTTAAGGAAAAAAAGGCACTTTCTTTCTTTGCTTCATTGCATAATTTCTGTGAACCAGCTCAAGGATTCTCTATAGAGACAGTGAATACAACATTTATGCTTCTAGGTTTTATTTTGCTTTATTTTGGTTATTTTTAGCTTGTATAATATATTTTATATTACATATGACAATTGAGGATCTGTTAAAAACATTTTCCTGGAAATGTTTGCTCTTCTCAGTCACTTTTTGGCTTTTTCTCATAAGAAAAGAAATTTCAAATGGCAATACAAATATCCCTCCTAGTTTAATTATATATACCTATATATCTACACATATATGTTTAGATCGCATACATACAAACATACTATCTTTTTTTCTGAAAAGAACTCAAGGACTATAATTAATCCTCTTTTTCTTTTTTGCCATGGGATTTAGTTCACATTTTACTTGTATTTATTTTTCCATTATACACTCAGTGCCATTAATTTAAGCACATTCTGCCCTCCACCCAGGTTCTTGAATGGTTAAGAAAAAAATTTACATTACAGACTTGATATATTAAATAGCAAATAGAATCTAGGTGGTGGTCAAGATTTCCACCTTTAAGATCTGGGGTCGGGGTCTGGTTACTGGGAATCCACTTCCAAGTTGAACTTGTAACCTAGACAGTACATGAGGCTGGAAACGGAAAGCACATTAGTGATTCTCAAACGGTTAGTGGCTTTTCCTAACTGGATTCAGGGATGCTCTCCTCAAACTGAGAAATTAATCCTCTTGAATGTGGCTCCAGTGTTTCTGATACTTTTACATTAATTTCAATATATGGCCAATACCTGCCTCAAGTTTTCAATACTTCATAGGAATCCACTGTTCTTCTCAAGGAAAATGTCTTCTTTGGAAAAATGCGTGTTTTTTTAACCGATCCCATTCGGGCTTTAAACTACGCTCCTTCTTTGTGTCTGTAGGTGCAACAGTGGTTCTCATACTCAGGAGGATTTTCTACTGGACGAACCCTCTACAGATTCCAAGCCTCACCCCTGAGATTCAGGAGGGAGCCGGTCAGGGGACGGCTGCCCAGCCTTTCGGAAAACGGCAGTTTGAGCCTGCAAGACCAAGCATCAGTGAACGTGAGGACGCATCGGTAGAACAGCCCCAGCCAGGTCGGTTTCAGGCGGCCCGGCGCCCAGCGGTGCCCTGGAGAGGCTCCAGCATCTTTCGGCCTGGAGGGCCTGAGCGGTCGCGGCCCCAGAGCCAGGAGCCACAACCGCTCTGGCTTCGTTCTTGGCGCTGGATGGGAAAGCCACAGCTGCAAATGAGGGTGCTAAGGCTTCAGGGCTCTGGCGTTGTTAGTGCGTGGGCGGTGGCGCTGGAGGGACAGAGGACCTGAGCACCAGCACTGCCGCCAGGCGACGGCGAGCCGGGCCGCAGTCTGGGGAGCTGTCTGGACTCTGGCGTGTGGGGAAGTGTACAAAGGCTTAGTGGAGCAGAGCGGAGCCAGCCCCAGCCCTGCTCCAGCCCTGCTCCAGCCCTGCTCTAGCCCTGCTCCAGCCCTGCTCCAGCCCTGCACACCTTCTCGATCGCCTGGGCCCTAGAGAGCAGGGAGAGGAAAAAATAGCTACCCCGAGGCGGCGTGCACGCTCCGCCACCTCCCAACCTTCTCCAGCTGTTGGGGTTCCCGCCCTGGGCTGCGCTCGATCCCTGGGGCTCGGGGTCGTAAGGAATTGCCCCGCCTCAGTCCTGAGCCCAAAGTCGTCAGCAAACCGCACGCTCTCTGTTTCCCTGGCCTGGTCCCCTTACTTTGTTCCCTTCCTGTTTCTAGGCCCTGCTATTTCAAGAATTCTAGGGGGAAAAAAAAAAAAGTGCACCAGCTTGGTGCGGATCTGGGTAGCCTCAGGAACTAGGAGTGAAGCAGCCAGGCACGCGCAGTCCGGATGCAGACATACCAGTTTCCTACCCACAGGATCGCCCCAATTTTATTGATCGCAGTAGCTATTTCTGTCTGCCAGGTTTACTCCGAAATCGAGTCACGTAGGAGTGAAGGTTCATGTGATCATATCACTGCACACTCGCTGTGTCTAAAATGGGCTCCGGCACTCCAGGCGTAGATGCTGAATTCCCCCATACTCGCAAGGAATATCTTGGCCTGGGGCTAATTGTGTTTTTTAATGGCAAAGGGCCTCTGAATCCGCCCGCCCACCCCCCTCCCGCCTCAGTTAAGTGGTGTGTGTGCCTGTGTGTGTGTGTGTGTGTGTAATGATTCCTATGAACTGACAGTTTGGTATTTAAAGAACAAGTGCACTCAACTACAGTAAGTCGTTTGTACTTGTTGATACACCTTTTCCGAGGATAAGAATGAGATTTCTGAGATCATGAAGAAAAGGTAGTTTTGCCCGATGCTCCTTTATTTAGAATCTACACTTTTGTAGAGAATCGATAGATGTTCTACTTAGTTCCTTACTTCAGATTGTTTTAGTATTTTGAGTTGAATTTACACTCATTTTCATGATAGAACACTTTCATATTTTACAATATATATTGCCATTGCCTGCCACTCTTCTACAAAACAGCAAGCTTCCTACAGGTAGATTTTATTCACTAACTCAAGCAATGCCTGACCCTAAGTACTCAAAAAGTAATTATTAAATGACTGATACCATTCACTCCAAAGTCCTTGGCTTTCCCATAGCCTCCAAACATTTCTGTGTGTAGGCCAGAGGGAAGAAAGGACAGGGCTCAAATACACCAAATTAAAGTGAAGGACATCATGCTGAGGGACATTTACAAGACAGTAATAGTGCTCATAGTCAATTTGTTTATCAAGTGTTCTTGGTTTTTTAGGACTTTAATGGGCAGGAGGTGGGAATGATCTATAGTCTCAGACTATTGTTTAAAAAAATCAATATTTGGATACATTTCTCTTTTGATATATTTTACTTCTTCCCCCTTCTATAGATTAGGCATGGTATGGCATTATACTTCAGAGGGAAATGTACTTTGCAAGACTTTGATAACTTCTGTCCTTGGATTTACTAGTATATTTGGTTAATGTCATATTTCTCACTTTTTATATTTTCACAGGTATCCTAAAATAACATAAATTGGAGAAACCTGGTTTGGACTGAGTTGCATATATTAAAATCCATTAGTTGGCTTAACTGTTGCTTTTTCCGTTCTCAATGAGACTAATGTAGTGTCGCTCTTTAGCCTTTGAATGTACTCCCCAATCTCTTCCATGGTAAAGATATGAAGAACCTATTTTGTTAATATGCACTATCAGTACATACATAATATTTTAGCTGGTATTTTTTCCCATAAGGTGTTTGGTTGTGCTCACTCATCTTACATAATGGCACTTTAAAAATATTGCTATCACCGATACATTAAAGAACATTTGTTCTGCACAAAGAAACTATCTAGAACACTTTCTATTAATATTAGAAATCTCTTGAAAAGGATGTGCCACAACATAGGAATCTGTTTCTGTAATCAGTTGTAAGAAAGGCTATTCTCTAATTTTCTACTAACTACATATTCATTTTTTTCCTGAACTATAGAGTTTAAGCACAGGTTTTTGTGTTACCTCTTCTATCATGTTCAAAGGCCAAATATTCATTCCTTCCAGGTTACGAATAAAATGTGGTTCAGAATACCATCTCTTTATGCAGTACCAAGGGAAAACGCTGTTGCTATTTATAATAATTCTCGATAACCTTTTTCTTTTATTTTAGCATCACTTTCCCCTCGGATGTAATTTTGAATGAAGTACTTATTGCTTTTTTCTTCTTGACCTACTTTCAAGAGCTTTTATATTTCTGTAATATGTAGTCCTAAATCATAGTGAAACAGATTAATTGGCTATCACTTATTCTAGAAATGTTTTTGTGGTTTAAAAATCATCGGGTTACAAAGTACACAAATTTCATAGTCTGACATCTTTTCAGCTACGCCTTTCGTGAGTTCGCTCTCTGCTCTGCTCCCATTATTTTTCTTTGTTGCCTTCAATCCCCAAGAGACTGTGTTTCCAGGAGAGAAGCGCTAGTAGAGCAGAAGAGTTGGAGACTCGAGTGGGAAGAGATCTGGTACCTCAGAGGCACTAATCCCTCCTCCCCTGCCCGGTGAGAAGTCAGCCGACGTTGACAGCGCCTAGTCCCGCTTTGGCAGTCAGGCTTGTGGTCCACGGGTGGGATTTACCTCCTCTCTCTCCCCCTGCCTCTGGCCTGCCTCCAGGCCAAAGGCAGAAGCAGCCATTGCCCCAGTCCATCCTGGGTTCTCGCTCACCCGTCCCCTTGGGGAGCCGGGCTCTGCGGCCGCGGCTGACTTCGGGGACTGGGGAAAGTCACGGCGGGATCTGGACGCTCGAGAGGCGGCCCCTCCCCGGGCTTTTCTCCCGTCGCGGCGCCCACGTGACCGAGACTAGGCCTCCGCCAGCCCGCCCCTTTCCCCCGCTGTTGCCCACTTCCCGCTCGGGGTAAGTAAACCGCGGTTTTCCGCACCGCCCCAACCCCGCCCTTCTCCTTTCCCCTTCGCTTCACCTCCCTCGGGCTCCCTCGCTCCATTCTCCCCGCCCCCTCCTTCTCCACACCAGGCCCTTTGTACGTGCTCGGCGGCGTGCGAGCGCGCCCGGCACGTGACCCCGCCGAACGTGGCATTGTGTTATCACGTGACCCAGGTGCGTACGCGACGGAGCGGGGTGTGAAGATGGCGGACGAAGAGGCCGAGCAGGAGAGGTTGAGTCGCGGCGGAGGCGGCTGCGTCGCGGAGCTGCAGCGCTTGGGCGAGCGGCTCCAGGAGCTGGAGCGACAGCTGCGGGAGAGCCGGGGGCCGGCCGTGGACGCGGCCACGGAGTACTGTCAGCAGCTGTGCCAGGTGAGGGCGCCGGAGGTCCCCTCCCCCTTTACCCCGGCTAGACGGGGAAGAGGGCGAGCGAGCGCCTGGCGGCCGAGCCGTGGTGGTCGCTGCCTTGGCATCGTCGGCGCCGTCGCCCAAGCGGGAGCCGGGAGGACCAGGAAGGGGCCTTTGTGTGGCTGCCGTGGTGGCGGTTGTTGTCTGCAGCCCCGGCTGGGGGAAGGGAGTTGTGGTCAGGGCGGAAAATCCCCCTCCCCTTTCCTTCCCCGAACTCGGGTCTGCGCTGTCCCCGCGACTGAGGAAACGCAGACCGCGAGGATGGACCCCGCGCCGCCGCCGGGAGAGGGTAAGGAGGGGTGGAGGCCAGGTACCCTTCCTCCTCTTATTGTGCACTGGGGATCGCCGCGGCCTACCCCCTCCCCACACACACACACCCACACACACCTCTGCGCCTTGTTTCCCACTCCGACGGGCCTTCGCCCCCACCGCTTTGATTCCCTGGCCTCCCCCCTGCTTTTCTCCGTCCCGCCCCCGACCCCGTACTCTGGGCTGTCTCCGGGCCTTTGTTGTTCGAGTTTCGCCTTAGAACTGAAGGGGCCTTTGTTGATGTTCGGAGGAGCAGTGCCCGCCGACCCCTTTAGCTTGAGCGAGACGTTCCTGGGTTGGGGGCGTAGAGGTTGTCCCTTCCTGCCTTTGCTTGATGGGTGCACCGCTTCCTCGGGAAATGTTGCTCTCAGTGAAGAGCGTCGACTATCCCTTTGGGGCGGCTTTTCCAGAGTACGCTTCTCCTTTGCTTCCTCACCCTTGGAGGAGTACGATTTCCTCTGTCCTTTCTCCCTGGTCTCCCCACCCGGTTATTGCTAGGCGCTTTCTCAGTTTGGCCTCCTAGTAAAACGGAGAGGCTGAGGTTTGTGTCGACCTGTGCTCAGGTCAGTTGCAAAGCTTTCCTTTCTGTTCTTGCACAAGGACATCGCTTTCCAGTAACAGCGTTCTGACCAGGATTTGGAATGTTAATAACGCTGTTTGCTTGATAGAAATCGGGGTTTCCGTCAACGATTGGACTTAATTACTAAATACCAGTTACCTGTGAAATTTCAAGGTGCTGCGACGGGCTGTGGTGAAGATTTTGGTTAGAATGTATCGGTCACATTTAGAGTTAATTTGGGAATGTATCGTTGTAGAGAAGTTGTTTCAGAAAGATAATTAACTTAAGGTCGAACAATGGTGGCCCATTTTGTCATTTCAGAGTAGATTACATTTCACTTATGTTTTAATCTCCAAGTTCTGATATGTCTCCTTTATTATAAGATCCAGGGACATTTGATCCCATACCAAAAATTCAGCATTGCTGTATTGTCACTAAATATTTGGTGGTGGTTGGTTCATTATATTTATTTTTTTTAAAAAAGTGTGAGACAAAGTGGTGACTTGTCTAAGAGTATATGCAATATGAAAGATCCTCCACTTAAAGAAACGTTAAGTCTTGGAGATTAAATCTCTATGGCAAAATTGAAGAATCTGTCACCCTTTTGAAACTCTAGTTTTAAAGATTTTTGAAATTTGCCAGTTTCACTGCTCATGCAGTACCCACTCATTCTTAATTACTTTTTTTAGATATTTATTTTAGGCATAAAAATGCTTCAGTAAAGTATTGAAGTTTAGCTTTGCTGAAAACATTTCATATGTGTCCGCTGTAAATATCCTTGGCCAGCAGTATTTATAAGCAGGATTAATAATTCTGGGAAAATGTAATCTTATGCAAGTTGGAATATCTGCAACAAAGTTATCACTAATACAATATTTTTTATATAGAGAACGGCATTTCTTAAAAATCCGTATGAAAGTTGGCCTCCCCGGTGGCGCAGCGGTTGAGCGCTGGGTTGCGAAGCTGCCCGCAGCCTCTGCAGCGCCAGTTCGATCCCCGGCTGCTCCCCGGTCACTGGAGGAGGGTCCCACATGGCGCGCAGACCTCTCCTGCCGCCCGCTGCTCCCCTCAGCAGTGTACTTCGGTCCTTCTGCCTGCTCTGCTCCCCGCTCTGGCTCTGGTGAATTCTCTCACCCTCCCGCGCTTCTGACTGTACCCAGTACTTGTATAAATAAATAAATAAAAATCTTAAAAAAAAAAAAAATCCGTATGAAAGTAATTTCGTGTTTTATTAGGTGATTAGTCTTAACTATAAATGGTTTTTATTGACCCTACATGAACTAGTAATAAAGCAAACACTGATTTGGTGGATTTGAAAAAAAAAATAGATATTTCATGCACTGAAATCCCACAATAATTTAAATGCAGGTGAAGGTGATCTCTAATATTTGAGTAGGTACAAAGTGTATCTGATGTTTAATCCCCTCTACAATGTTTTCTGTAAATATTTTTAAAGTAACTGTTGTAGTCATCTTGTCAAGTGAGAAGCAACTTGAAGTATAATTGTTTCTTTAAAGTTGTATCCTAACCTTTATAACATTTTAATATGAAGTTGAGAAAAGCAGTGGTTAACAATTATAAAATGTATTACAGCAATCTAAAAACTGCTAGGAAAAAAACTAGGAGGTAGAAATTTTGTCTTGGCTTCTAATATTGAGATTTTCATTTACAATTTTCTATTACATGGGATATTCACATATTTCAGGAAACAAAGATGAATAAATATTTCAGTGGCCTTCAGAGTTAATATTTCTTAAGGGTTGGTGTTCAGTATTTGTGTAAACCTCCTTGTTGCATTTATTTTTAAAATGTTTATATTTTGAGTTTTCATCTCAGCGTAAAGTTTCTGGAGAATGTAGTGAAACCTACAAAAATAGAAGTTCTGTATACCTCCTAGTTTATAGTTTTTCTTTTCAAAAGAGGTAGGATATTGACAAATTTCTTGAGTTTTGAGTTGAGTAGAAACTAAACTTTTTCTTATTGGTAACAGAATTGTTTTTGCTTTTTGTATTGGTTATGCCCTGAAATCATGCCTCATTTTTACTTAATTACATGAACATTTGTTTAAAGCTCTAGTGGGAGAAGGGGAAAGTGGTATCCAGGATGTGTATGGGAGTGCCTGTCAAGAATTTTATGATTTTCTAGTATCCTTGAAAGTAAGCTTTAGGGCCTCCCCTGGTGGTGCAGGCAGTTGAGTGCCATGCTGTGAAGCTGCCTGCAACCTCTGCAGCGCCTGTTCTATCCCTGCCGGCCAGGGAGCCTGCCAGAGAGCTACCCACATGGCGCAGCAGACCTCTCCTGTCTTGCCTGCTGCTCCCCTCAGCAGTGTATTTCAGTCAGTCTGCCTGTTCTGTTCCCCGCTGTGTCTGGTGAATCCTTTCACCCTCCCGCACATCTGGCCTGTACCCTGGTTCTTGCATAAATAAATAAATTTAAAAAAAATCTTAATCAGAGTAGTTTAGTAGACTTTTCTTAATTTTCTTAAAGTCAATTTAGAATAAGAATATAACATAGCTAGAGATAATATCTTGCACTTATTTGTTTCAGGATCCTTATTATATATATAAATTAATTATAGTTGGAACTTCTTTGACTAGTTGTATTAGATTGGACCAGTATTCACTCACTCTTTCAGCGTTGTTACTGAAGGCCTACTGTGGGCCAGGCAACCATAATCATGGTTCTGGTTCAAGGAGCATATAGTCTCTGGATGGAAGTAGAGAAATAATTGTAGTGAACTGTGATTTATATCTTATTTCTGAGATGAGTGCACTACATGGTGAATTTTATTTTTGGAATTTAAAGAAAAGCATTCCAATCTAAGACTTGTTTTAAAAAGGCTTAAAAATAACTGTTCATTTAGAAGTTAAAACATTGTAGTAGTTGAGGAATGATGAGGTGGCAGGCATTGTATATTGGACCAGATGACTGTTGAGTAATACTTGAATTGTGACTATGATCATTTATCTTTTGGTCATTGATTGTTTCAAAAGGTTGAATTGCAGTTATGGAAATATGTGTGTGTAAAATATACACATCATACCTTAGTTCATGTAAACAGTGCTTCTCAACTGGGCATGGTAATCTCCGCAGCTCCCCTTGCAGTTCCCTATTCTAGGGTACAGAAAAATATGTGAGATCAGTTGTTTTCGTCATTGCAGTGACTTGGATGTGATACTGTGCCCATGATTCATGGGTGCTATATTTTTAAGTCATTATGCTCTTTTCATGTTAAGATAATATAGGTTATTAGGAAATGTAGTTACTCTGAAACAGGTCCAGGTAAAAGCTTTTCGATCATTTTTAAATTCACACTGAGTTTGGGAGTTCAAGATTATTCCAAATTGCTTTTTGCGGAAATCACAAGCAATAATAGTAGCCAGCTCCTGACCACCCCCATCCTCAGTTTCATTTTCTATGGTTTCAGTTACCTACAGCCAATTGTTCCAAAAATATTATGTATAATATATTTTGAGAGAAGCTACATGCACATAACTTTTGTTAAAGTATATTATATTATTAGTTTTTTTTTTTTAAGGGGCATGTATTTTTATTTATTTATTTATTTGTTTGTTTGTTTGTACATGCACTGGGTACAGTCAGAAGTGCGGGAGGGTGAGAGAATTCACCAGAGCCAGAGCGGGGAGCAGAGCAGGCAGAAGGACCGAAGGACACTGCTGAGGGGAGCAGCGGGAGGCAGGAGAGGTCTGCACGCCATGTGGGACCCTCCTCTGGTGGCCGGGGAGCAGCCGGGGATCGAACCGGCGCCGCAGAGGCCGCGGGCAGCTTCGCAAACCAGCGCTCAACCGCTGCGCCACCGGGGAGGCCCTATATTATTAGTTGTTGTTAATCTCTTGGTGTGCCTAATTTGAAAATTAAATTTTATTATAGATATGTATATATAGAGAAAAATAGTCTATATAGGGTTTGGTTCTCAGCAGTTTCAAGCATCTCCTGAATGTCTTAAAATATATCCCCCTCACACTACAAGGGTAAGGGGTGGGCTGCTATACTAAACAATTACTGAAGCAATTCACTTTTGCTAGGTTTAAGAGGGTAGGAAATTTAGCATTCTTAATTGTCCCAATTAAAGAAG